CCACATGGTGGAAAGAGTTGTCATCCCTGTGCATGCGTGAGGCTTGCGCTCCACCCCCACATACAATAAATGAATAAAAGGTTTTTGAAAAACTGATTCGACTAAAATCAGGAACAAGACAAGGCTGTCCACTCTCTCTATACTTATTCAATATAGTACTTGAAGGTCTAGCTAGAGCAATAAGACAACAAAAGGAGATCAAAGGGATACAAATTGAAAAGGAGGAAGTCAAACTTTCACTATTTGCAGATGATATGATAGTATACATAAGTGACCTCCAAAAATTCTACCAGGGACTCCCACAGCTGATAAACACCTTCAGTAATGTGGCAGGATACAAGATCAACTCTGATTACAATTTTGAATTGATCTTTATATATGAAAATGATCCAACCTCATTATTTTGAATGCAGCTGTCTAGTTACCACCGATGATATCTAGTTGTCTTCGGTACCAGTCACTGAAAAAGCCGATTTCTCCCTACTGGGTGGGTATGTGAATTTGTCCCCTGACATGCTGGTGCCTCTCTTTTTATGCCTGGTACCCACAGTGGTACCCGATTATTTTAACTCTTCATTAAGCTTCAGAATTAGAAATTGTTTGGACGTTTCTGGAGTCGCAGAATTTCAGGATAAGATTCTTAGTTTCTGCAAGGCGGCCGGCTACCATCCCGAGTCTCCCAGTCCATGAACATGGACTGTCTTCCCATTTATTAAGTGATTTCTTTCAACAACATTCTGTCACGTGTAGATCACTTTGTTTTTCTGTTAAAGTTTGTTCTTATTGTTTTTGATGCTGTTTTAAACAGAATTAAGGTTTGTTTCTGTGTGGTGTTTCTCCCAGGGCCGGAGATAGAACCTTGTGCGTGCTCGGCAACTGCTCTACCCCTGAGCTACACCCTCAGCCCTAGTATTTAATTTTCTTTTCTGAAATGTGAGCATATAGAAATAGAACTGAAAGGAAGTAGGGGTCTGGTAGTGGGCAAAGGGCATGAGACCCTGAGGAGGAGGCCTGGCCTGGCAGGGACGAGTCAGGCTGCCCCTTGTGTGGACGGTGCAGATTAGAGTCACGGACGGGCAAAACAGCCAGGCTGAGGGGCAGGTAAGAGATGGTGAGGCTCAGGTGATGGACAGGCACGTTAGGATGGGGAAGGATGGAGGTGACACAGAGGCCACCCCAGGGGCGCCAACTAGTCTGGGGGTGAGAAGGGCCTGGGGGTGCGGGGGGAGGGGGTGATTGCCTATTGCAGTATGTGCAAGATGTCCCCTGATTAAATCTAGTGGCTTCATCCATGTGTTTGAGCATTAGAATATTCTCCCATGTCATCATCGTCCCCTGCTCCAAGAGATAGGCCGGAGAGACAGACAGACAGACAGACAGACAGACAGACACACACACCCCAGGAGATCCCCAGCCATTAACAGAGCAACCTGGAATTATCCAGGGTCTGATCCTCTGGTCGACCACCAGGGGTCAGTACGTGCAGCAGACTGGGGTCCCTGGGACAGCCAGCACGGTGCCAAGCAGCCATCCATCCATCCCCGAGACTGCTTGAGTCCTTCCCAATAAAGACCAGAAAACAGCTGCTCTCCCCTGCCCAGTCGTCTCCCCCCATCCCCAACCCCGAGCGGCCTCATCAGGCATTCTGCTGGTGCCACTAGCTAATTAGTGTCACGTTAATTGAGCATTCAGGAGGCTGCCACCTCCAAGGGCATGGTGTCACAGTGAAGGAGAATGCAGATGAAGGGTGGTGCCCTAGGACTTCCTGATCCCTTGTGGAGAGGCAGGGGCTGGACGGAAGAGAGGAAGTAATGTCACGGACGCCATCGCCCCTCTCCCACGCCTATGGGA